TAGCCATAAGAGGGCGATACAGATTGATATTAGAAAGAGACTGCCTGACTAATGTAGTGATCTGTGCATGTTTTGGTGTGGCTAGCGACGGTTGAAGAGTCAACTCAGACAACATGTTGGCATCTCCTAACAATAAGCTTGATGTGATGTAAAACTCATTACCTCTTAGTTAGTCTGAGGCTCTGTCTGTCTAGTCTGGTAGTTGAGTTAGTCACTATCCCCCCACCAGATATTACCGCTTTAAAAGTTCAGAGAATCTCTCGTTCAACTCGCGAACATATCATAACAGTCACTGATCAATATATATGTGAGCCAAGTTGAACGCACTTTTCAAAGATATAAGAAAAAGGATGACTCTTCCTACATAGGTGCAGATTTCTCAACCTAGCACACCAAAATTGCAATAGAAAGGACTGTACTAGTCTCGAATGACACACCCAGCGCTAATTATGAACTCCACAGATTGTGTGCTAGATAACCATCAGACTGATGAGCTGGCTCTATATTAATATTACTGATAATTAAACGAACATTCGACTTCATGACAACAGAATTCCTACATATGAACAACTCGGACTAGTTGAACCTGACCTTGCTTCGCTATCTTCCCGCTGTGTTCCTTCCGACACCGATAGCAACAGTAGCCACCGGATGCCGCCGCCAACGAAACGATGATGATGGGTAAACCTACCATCAAGAAGAATCCCAGAGCCGGGCTTGGTAGGCTCGTGTCGTTGTCGACGTTGCGAGGGCAACAAGAGTCGGGAACGGTGTTTCCCGGTACCCATGTTTTCACCAGAACGCTACAGGGCAGCTTAGGAGGCCGAGGAGAAAGCGTTGCGCTATCGGAAGCCTCCATGAAATGTGATATGCATTGTAAATTCGTATACCATTGGGGAACATTGTGTCGGCTTGCCAAATGGAATCTGTCAATGACAAAGTCGCACTCATATCGCTGAAACAAGCGGGGAAAGAAATGCCGTCTATTTCGATGTCAATGCCTGGGGAGTTAAACGAGTATCCTCTTTAAGATCACTAGTCAGTCGGATCCATCTGCAAGCGAAAAACTGTGATTGTGTACCTTGTGCAGCAATACGCTGTGCTAATAGATGACTTGAATTCTGCCCCGGTGGCTTCGAGTTGGTATGCAGTCCAGTCATTAGGGCAGACAGCCGGGCTGAATGAAAATCGGCTCTCAGGCACGACGTCGGTCCATCCAGTTGGCTGGCAGGTAGAGAAACGAGGATCGGCCGTATCCGAAATGACTATCTGGAGTGTTGTCTCGGTATAGTTGCCCCAGAAAAAACTTGTTATAACACTCGTCGTGGATGATATTGCTCCGCATCTTGAAGGTTGGATGAATGGCGTGGTCAAGGCTAGGATGTTTGTGGCAGTGACAACGAGAGAGGAAGTTGACGACAGGATGGTGTTCCACATGATGTCCTTGTTAGCAAACGCTATTGCTTGTCATGACGTCTGATCCAAAAGTGGAAAGCTTATTGTTCTTATATTGCCCGGATTGCTGCCTGCGAGTTGCGTGCGCCAGGTCATTGCAGTCGAACGCAGCCCAGTTGTTTTAAGTATTCCCTGACACCCCAACATAAGCAACACCAAGAAGGGGCGAACGGCAATGAGGTACAGGTCCAAGAAACTGGTAGTACAGAATAAGATGCTGTATCAGTTATACTGTCTCGGCACGCTCTAAGAAGGGTACGCTCCAACCCTTGAACTCGTATTCCAGTTTGGTTACACGCCAGTAGCCTTTTACTTAGGCCCTGGGAGATTCAACATAAAGAGGTGCCCAATAACCACTATGTGAACGTGTATACGCACTTCAATGCCAATTCAATTGTGTTTTATACACGACTGGTTCTTTGATTGACAATTGGGCGAAGAGAGTCAACCCTTGAATTACCCGGAATTGCCACTGTTGGTTCATATGAGTGAGGCTTTGCTCAGCTCTAATTCCCTTGAACTAATTGATTGGTTCCAGCAATGCGTGTTGGTGGCCAAGCATATACCAAATCCATGTAAATTATTGGTAGAAACAAAAAGACATTGACTAACGAGCCATCAGAGCATCAAGAGCCTCGGTTGAAGTGATAATCAACCTCAGCAAGTAGCACCGCGGCGAGATTTACTTTGCTTGTCCGGCCCAGTATCAACATTTGCGACTCCCTGATTGTCATAGTTCCAAAAGCCACCATTCGTAGTCCCGAAGTCCTTGTCGGTACATGAATTTATGATGTCCCTCACAAGATTATTACAAAAATTCGTGTCGACATACCATCCACCAGACTTATTCGATGTGAAGCCGACATACACATAGAATCCAGTGCCGTTATCCTCGTATTGCCAAGTCCCTTTGGTCTGTCCGTTTGGAATTAATCCAACATTAAGGTTCTTGCAGGCTTGTTTGGCGAGTGTGAGGGCATGGTCTGGGGCAAAGCAGCTGCAGTGGTTGGAGCCGTAGCATCCAGAGCTGTCGCGCACTTCTAGCTTGACAGCAGAATTAGGACTCTGCAAGGGAGTTGCGGTGATTGGTCCTGTGAACAGGAGAGCTACCAAGAGTGTCGCGATCGCTGAGCTAGAAAGTCTGCCTCTCTGTGACAGTCGTCAATAACAGGTGCAGTCACCTCATCGTGTTGTACTCACCATTCTGGACTGCTGCAGAAACGAAATTCTAGTACTAGTTGCGCAAGTATACGTGATCTAAAAGCAAAAACATCATAACCAAGTGATACTTGTTGCGACTTGTCTTCAATTTATAATGTCACCAAGGATGAGCGACCATTAGATTTGCATGACTATAATTAGTCACTTAGCACAGCTAAAGTTAAACAACCTTCAAATGTAGGCTAGGGAACTACGAGCAGTTGAAGGTGGACGGGAGAAGCCATCTTGTTGGTCAAGGTTGCCGGTAATAGCCTAACAGAGGCTCAGACCTGATCGATATGGTGGGACGAAACACAATTATATTTCTCCGATTGGGAAGTCGTGCAGTTTAGCTGAAAATGCGAGGTGATTATATGTAAATCAGCTCCATGTAAGCTTAAAACAACAACCCGGCTCACAAATGTTGAGTAGCTTGAAACATTGAGTCTAGACCAATGCTTACTGAGCAGTGTTCTTCACCCACAGATAAGGAAATCATAAGCTAATGGTTGAGAGGTTCATAAAGAAGGCAGCTTCGAACCGTTTAAAGCCTCGATCTACATTGACTGGGTGTAGTTTGCATATTGAACGGTTATAAGCATCGTATAACCTAATGTCGAATCGGAAACTTTCGGTGGAAAATGAAGCAGAGTTTATATTTGAATTAAGCACCAGAATGGAAAGGAATTACAAGGACATTCTATTTCCTGGGCAGACCCGTCCGGTTTCGGCTTACGTCGACTCTGATTTATCAGCGGAGCTCTGCTAATCTTGTGAAGAGCTTTATCACCATGGCTCGAAAATCCTCGCAGTTGAGCGCTGGTTTTACAAGCAACCCAATTACCTACCTATCAGCGACAGGGCAAGCTAAACGATTCGCGCTGTCCCAGTCCGATAACATGCTTAGGTTATTAGTGCTTGAGCCGGACCAAAGAGGTCACCGAAGTCCGAATATCCACCAGGGATCGTTATGACTCGTGTGGACCTATCAGCGACGTGCCTGGCAGCTGTTATTGATTCACTTATTTATTCTTCTTTCAAATGATGTATTTATTGTCATGATACAGGACCAAATTTCGGACATTTTACTATCCTATAAAATCCCTCTATCTCGGTCTCCCTACAAATCTCTAATCATGGCAATCAAGCTTTACGGCTCGCGTCAGTCAAGCTGCACACAGCGAGTGCTTATGATGCTTTCTGAACTCGGCCTTGAGTACGAATTATCGGACATAAAATTGGAAATTGGCGAGCATAAGGTAGGTCAGAAATTCCGGACTCTTGATACACTTATTCAGACCGCTTGCAGAATCCTGAGTACATCCAAGAACATCACCCATTCGGGCTCATTCCTGCAATCGATGACGATGGGTTTCGGTTGTTTGAGTCGAGGGCGATCTGCAGATATTTACTCGCCAAGTATGGGCAAGGGCATGAACTTCAAAGAGACGGTCAAGGAACTGCGGCCGACATTGGTATTTTTGAGCAGGCTCTGAGCATTGAATACTCCTACTTCCAGCCAACTATTTTCGGCTTGGCGTTCGAGCTCATGTTCAAGAAGTAAGTGATCAAAACAATTGCTGTTTTATAATCCAAAGGCTTATACTCTGTTTTCTGTAAAGGTTCTCGGGTCAGGGTGATACAAATCCTGATCCTGTCCTTGTGGCACGTTTTCGTTCTACATTAGCGACTCTTTTAGACCATTACGAAACGATCTTGGCTAACAGGCATTATCTTGCTGGGGATGTAAGAAAATACAGCAGCAAACACCCGCTTCAAAATCAGTCTGATATTGAAGGAGGCTAATCATTCTCTAGGTTTTTACCCTTGTGGATTTGTATCACTTGCCGTGGGTTCCATACTTGGCCAAGCTTGGTCTTGAGGGTGAAATAATCTCCAGGCCAAATTTTGAGGCTTGGACCAAGAGAGCTTTTTCTCGCCCATCGTGGCAGGCACTGGACAACTGAATATAGGCTATAGTACGTCAGGAATAGTTAGTTTGTAGATAATTGACAGTAAATTGCGTTGTCGACTCTGATGAACACGAAACGATGTACGAGGCCTGACGAGTGGCCACTGATTGATTGGCATGGAACGTTGAGATCCCAGGTGAGAGCACATGTCAAGGAGTATACCACTTACGAGGTCTTGATTTATTACCCACTTAATTCAGACCATGTCATCCAAACTAGGTGATAATTTTGAGTATCTGATGCTGTCATTAATAGTCTAGTTACGCGTTCTAGTGAAAAGTGTGCAGCTCGCTTGAAGAGTACGTTGACTTTGTTACTTTCCGAGATCCGACTAAAGAACCGCACTCCAATTTTGCTTCTTAATCCAATCCTCTACAGATGGGAGATGCACACCGACCTTTGTATACCAGTGTTAGCAACATTTCGATCGTATGTCAAACCCAGGACCAGATCTACCTCGGATGGATGGATAATACTGGGATCGCCACCATCATAGCCAAACTCGGAGATGTAAGCCGCACCGTCCTCGATATCGAGGCGGATATCATCAGGAAGATTAGCCCACCCACTGTTGGGGCCCGAAAGCTCGTATGTAGCTTTCACGCCGTGAACATGCCCCCAGGCCTCGGCAAATTCATTGAACGACATTTCTTCGCGGTAGGCAAGAAGATGCTTACCAGGCTCGTTGTCGACAAGGGCCTTCGTAAGTGGGCCCGTATCCTCGATTGTCGCGATGAAGGGTATCTTGCGATTGGGAGCTAGCTTGGCCTCGAATACGTAGACCCCGTTTGCATCCTGCCAATCATTTTATTGTTAATATGAATTCGCTCAACCTTTTAAGTTGAAGAAGAGCAATTCCCGTACCTTCCTTGGCTGGTAATGGGGCATTAAGAGCATATTGGTCAGGTACATGCCAATCTGGATTAGGCTGGTCTTCTTCATCAACTCCGGGTATTGGGTTTGCGCATACTCAACTGCTCTGGCTTCGCTATCAAAGTGGTAGACATGGGGCGTCTTGCCCTTTGACCACTTTGTCGCGTACGACAGAGCCGAAAAGATCAGACGTTCCAGTCCCTTGACGCCCGAAGCTGCCTCAAATATGTTCTTTCCTTGCTGCAACTCATAGTCGTGGGCCCATTCGAGCAAAGTTTGACCAGGTGCAACTTTTGAGGAGTTGGCCGGATTACGGAAACCGGTCCAGAAATCAGTTACGGCGAAGATAACGCTGGCACCCCGGAAGGCTGCTTCCAGGCTTGTCACATCGTCTAAGTCTGCACTGACCATTTCCACGCCCTTCAGTTGGAGGGTTTTTGCCGACGAGCTTCCTACATTGCGCGTCAAGCCACGGATTTTCCATTCTGCCAGCTCGAGGAAGGTTTGTACGACAGAGCCTCCTTGGTTGCCTGTGGCACCAATAACAACGATCAACTTCTCGGCCATACCGCTCAGCTTACTGTAATTGTTACTTCACCGACGTTCTGATTATAAGTGTTTTGCATTTTGCCGTCTCCTGTCTAGTCCAAATGTTTTGTATGTACTGTTATATAGTGACATATATTGCCTCATTGGGATAAGTTTCTATCGCCCTTAGTTGCAGAAGGAACGTTCAAAGTCCGTTAGGATCATATTGGGAGTTAAGAGGAATTTCAAAAAGTGCGAAGTCCGAATCTTATGTAAAGTCGGGTGAATTGGCTCAAAAGCTCTGTCCATGATTATAAATCATAGCAGTCTAGTGACTATTGTTCTTGTAGAATTTCCTCAACCCGCAAGGCTTGGAGTGAGTGATGAGTGCGGTAATAGGGGAACTTCCTCCGGACCCGCAGGAACTTCCGGAGCCGTGGGTGCTTCCGGACCCACACTTCGGATTCGGAGCACCATGGGCGAGATTCAAAACTGGCCGCCGCAATATGAGCCACCACCAACAAGAGTCCTTGCGAACGGAAAACATGAAGACCAGTACTGACCTCAGCCCAGGCCTAGAGAGGAACGTGGATGATACAACTAACGGCTCCTCTGAAATGAACCCCGAAGGCGAAGGACATAGTAAGTTTTAGGAAGCATGAGCTCTCTAGATCTCTGGCAGGGAGGTAAAAGACCCTCAGGCCTCTCTTCATAGTTTGGATGGATCGGAGTTGATTATGGAAGTGGTGGATCTGCAATTCAAAGTTCGTGCCTGGACTTGAGCGAGTGTCCAGTTGTGCGATGGTCTGCTGGATGTTGATCTCTGCGCACTATCGTGCTACTGTGGCCTTTCGCCACCCTCCGCAGTGCTGCTAGAGCTTAGTGGAGTCTTTATTCCATCTGGGGCACCAGAATGTAGGCATGATAGGTTTTAATAATACTCCATATCCGGACGCGGCATACGCATTCGTCGTTGCTTTGGGTGTGAATGACGAGAGTTATGCTATGCTCGCTGTAACTAGACTAGCTGTCACTTTCCAATAATTTGGGGCTTGTATAGTAATCAGGCCAACTCCATTCTACTCTAAATGCACGTTCAAGCTACACAAAAATCGCTAAGTGTCGCCCTTATGTCCAGAATCAATAATAACTCTTACTCGAAAACACCCTATAGCGATATAACATTTATTGTAGAGTAGAAAGTATCACATTGATCGACTAGAGATAGAGTCACCCCAAAGGTTCGATTAAATCAAGCAAGATTACAAACATTTGAGTTGTTAGTTACGAGAATGCTAACAACACATTATATATATCAGCACCGGTACCTTCATAGAGAATCAAACAAAATAAAAATGAGTTGATAGTAGAGTCTCGGTTCTGTGTTCCAGGATAATCAATACAACATACACGCCCCTGACTATAGACAGCCAACCTGTCGAAAAAGGTTGGAAGGTAAATCCACCCCTAGGCCTCTGTTATAAGATCCAGATAAGCATACATCTAGTGAGCAAGAGCGGTGTCGCAGCACGTGAATTAAGCGGGCGAGAGTCCTCCAATTGCCGTGTCATAACAGGGAGAAACTAAATAGAAAGTTCCATCTACACGAAAGGGATAAATATGTTGATGACTGCTCACATGGACTCATGGAAACAACTCTTCAGTATTGTGAGAAATCTGCATGGGCATTCGGATAACTTTATTATAATTCCAGGTCTCTGTGTCAACTCACAACCATTTAAAGAACGTGGTCTATACGGTTGCAAAGACTACGATGATAACAGCTATGCCACGAACCTTTTACATTATCGGGAAACAGTCCATTCACGTCCTTAAGCTATCGCAACAAACTATTACCTTAAGTCAGCCTACGGGGGCTGTTGGGATATTAAATTGATGTCCCCAATACGGGATGAAAGTAGTGTAACGTATTGTAGGAGTCGATTGCGTGATGTCGGTAGGAGCAAAATTCTTGGCATCGCTGTCAAGTATTCTTCTTTCGCGGACAATGAAAGCGCTCCGTCGTAAGCACTGGCACAAATGGCGTGCATTACTTGTGTATTATCGGTACATTATAGTAGACTTGGAAGTCCGTGGCCAGCCCCGCATAGATGCGGATTACGGATCAGGCATGTAAAGCATGCGTCTCCCACGGAAATCTATGTAGGCAAGTGCTGACATCTTATCTTAATAGATGGCTTGGAGGGATTTCGCAAGGTACATCCTGCAGCGCCAATCGTTTCTGGTTGGGGTTACATGCAGAGTCCGAGGATCCCATGCCCTAAAGTCCAACAACTTTACGGAGAGCCCAAATATGCTTTGAAATGACGACTTTCCGTAAGCCGGAACATCGCCTCTTCGCCGCCGTGGAGTTTTAGACTTCGATAATTAAACGGTTACGTGCATCATCCACCGTTCTCATATTGAAAACCTGATGAACCCTTTGAGTTTGCCATCCAGTTATCTCTACACACAACTTCGTGATCATCTACTATGGTTTCTAGAGAACCTCACGACGACTCAATGGCAGAACCAGACGAACGAAGCCCTCTTCTACGAGATGTTGAAATTGGCGGCAGCGATGGAACAGGTCTAATTGACACAGACGACCATGCCAATGGTGTGAGAACTCAGAGAATTGATCCTGCAGCAAAGACAACTCGCGAAGATGAGGAGGAGACCGAAGGCACCTCTGAAGAGATAACGGTTTTACCAGCGAGCGACACCCCATTCCTCAATGGCATCAGCGTCAAACGGTTCTGGGTCATCTTTATTGTGATAAACATCACCTTTTTCATCTCGATTTTTGATACTACTATCATCGCGTCTAGCCATCCTATCATCATGTCGCACTTCAAGAGCGCTAACAGCGCCTCATGGCTCTCGACAGCCTATCTCCTGACTTCGACCATAATGCAGCCACTGGTTGGCCGGATCACGGACAGTTCTGGTCGCAAAATACCTTTTATCATTGCCCTTGGCATCATCACCGTGGGAACACTTTGGTGCGCTCTGGCGCAAAGCCTGCTTTCCATCATTCTTGCCAGAGCCATGTGCGGGTTTGGCGCAGGAATCATGTTCGCCTTGGCGGGCATTGTGATCTCAGATCTCATTCCTATTGAGTAGATGCCTATTTAACCTACAACATTCGTATCATGATACTAACGGCACCACCCTAGACGCCGAGGATCATACCAATCAATTTTCAACATCATCTTTGGCATTGGGGCCGCATTGGGGGCTGCACTAGGGGGCGTGATGGCAGACTCATGGGGATGGCGATGGGAATTTGGAGTGCAGGTGCCATTCTTATTCATATTGACTATTGTGGCCATGTTCGCTCTGCCAGCAGATCTTGGCCTGTATGGTCGCGAGCCAGAGAGTATTTGGACTGTGTTAAAGACATTTGACATCAAAGGCTCCATACTGCTGACAATTGCCATCATCTTCCTCATTCTTGGTTTGGTGAGTCTCATTGTACCTTTCTCAACTCCTAGGCATGTGCTGACTGGATATGACAGAGTCTTGGAGGCAACGTACTACCTTGTAAGTTGAGAATTCACTGTCACTGCGTGATGCCATTATTCATCAGTGCTGACAAGGCAAAGGGTCGCATCCGTTCATTATCTCATCTATCGTCATTGCTGCATTATCATTCCCGATCTTCCTACACATTGAGACGAAAGCACAACGCCCTGTCATGCCGCCACACCTTATCGGCAAGTCGCCGCACGGCAACCTAATTCTCTCAAATTTCCTGGGGTGTATCATGCAATTTGCAATCTTCTTCAACGTGCCATTGTTCTTCCAAGGTGTGCTCCTCTCATCAGCAACCAACTCCGGTCTGCGGCTGGCCCTGCCGTCCGGGTTCGCCTCTCTCGTCGGCGCCGCGACCGGCTTCCTCATCACGTACACGAAGCGTCTGAAGTGGCCCCTTGTTCTGGGCGCAGTCATGTACCTATTTGGCACCATTGTTCTTGCCACAATGCGCCCCGGGTGGCCGGAATGGCTCTACCTGCTGTGTCTCCTGCCCACCAGCGCCGGGCAGGGGTTCCAGGCTCCTGGCACGTTCATCGCCGTCCTCGCGGCAAGTGAACAGCAGGCGCAAGCCGTCACCACCAGCACGCTGCTCCTGTGGCGCTCGATCGGACTTATCATTGGCGTCGCAAGTAGTAGCCTCGTTGTGCAGAATGCGCTGGTCTGGTACCTGGAGGCGTATGTGGACGGGCCTGAGAAGGAAACCGTTATCAGACAAGTGCGGAAGTCCGTGGAGGCGATTCGGTCTTTGAGCCCCGAATATCAAACCCAGGTTATTAGAAGCTACGAAGCCGCTCTTCGACTTACATTCATTTGTCTCGTTGCTTTGGCGGTCATTACGGTCTTGTTGATTCTGCCAGTTAGACTCCCGAGACTGGGTACTCGGAAGTAAATTCGCCATACTAAGCTAAGAAAAAAAGACAGAAAGACAATGATACAACTAGACAGTAGCCTTTTGTAGACTAGATAACACTTCAGTCTGGTCTTCTATATATACTCTGATAATAGATATGGATATATTATCTCATGGTATAAAATGCTCTAGGCCTAGTCTGAATATATACAGCAATTAGTCGTCTAAGTTCTTGGATTTCTCAAGAATGAGACAACGCCGCCACAGTAACCAACGAGATGGTCGAGCCGAGCCTTCTCCTGCTCTTGTCGCTGCTTCCACTCAGCAAGCGCCTTCAGTAAGACCTCATTCTCGATGATAAGATCGAAATGTAGACGCAAGAACACCGTCATCCAAGCCTGCGTCAGCTCGTAATCCCGCCTTGCGATAAGACGAGCAGTCAACGCATGGATGAAGTGTAGTAGTTCGTTAGACTCGTCCTCTCTGTTCATCCCGATCGACAAGGACCGGAGTTCGAGGTCAGCTGTTGAGGGAGATAATGACTTTAGATACTCGATGAACCCGCTGTAGTCTCCTGTCTCCGCGCCATGGCGCAGTTTTGACGTGAATGCTTCTTCCGAGCGGCTGCGATCAAGCTTCGTGATTCGGGACCTAGGTTCGTCGCTCTCCAGGGGTACAACGGCGTTTGATCTATCACCAGGCTTGGAGCCGTTCACCGTTGATGGCAAAAAGAAGGGTGCCTTCTCAGGGGCTTTGGGTGCCTCTGTCGGTTTGTTCCTCTGCTTGATGATGTCCAAATGTAGAAGTGTCTGCCAGCGGCTCTTGGGCACCAGACTCAAGGTCATCATATCGGCGCTCAGCTGATCAAGCGTGGGTGCTACAACGGTGTCATCTTCTTCGACATCCACATCCTCTTCGTAAGCAGCTTCGATCAAGCCCTGTCCACCCTCGCCTGAAGTGGTGGGCCCCGCGATCTGAGCTATTTCCCTCTCAGAGATCTGTCTCGTAGGCACGTGCTTGAATACAGCACGGTTCGTCCAGATATGGACACCTAGTTGACCTTCGGTAGCGGCTGCGAGGTACTCTCCCGTCACAGAGAATGCCAGTGCCGTGCACGGCTTCTCTAATCGGATGGCGTCAATGAGATGACTGGTTGGTAAGTCCCACACCCGCAGGACGGCGTCTTGTGATGCGGCAATGACCCAGCGCCCATCGTTTGAGAAGCAGAAATCATTGATGCCGCCTTGGCACCCCCAAAATTCTCTAATCGTCTTTTTCGTCTCAATGTCCACAACGCGGATGGATCCATCGTCGCATGAGAAAGCAATAAGGTCATTTGCGGCATGATATCGACATCCTGTGATGGCCGTCATCGGGGCCCAGTCCAGCTGTTCTACCAGATTACCGGTAAGGAAATCCCAGAACTTGATCGTGCCGTCCAGTGAACATGTTATGACCAGCTTGTTCATGGAGTCAACTACAATGCCGGTGACAGCCTTTGTGTGTTTCCCCATTCCTGGTGTGAAACCAGGATTTGATCTGGACTGCAATTGCGACACATTGTCTGTTTGCCTTAGCTGCTGCATCTTCAGCTGCCTTGCTTGAGCAGGCGTCAATCGAGAAGGAAACCTTTGCCGATGCAGCCCTGACTGCAGGTTGAACATGTCCACGCTGCCGCCCTCCGAGCCCACGACCGCGAACGTGCCGCATGGGCTGATTGCCACATTTGACACATTTAGGCCATCACCAGTCTGGAAAGCCCAACGGCCTGCTCTCTTCCTTCCCCAGAACCACGTTCTTGCAAAAGGGTCATTTTTGTGTGCTGTGACGACGCTTTCCCATCCGGTCATGCCACTGATCTCAGCATCCAGTGGCTTTTTCTGGCCATGACCCTTCTGCCAGATCGGCTGGTTGCCAGGCATTGCGCCTATACCGCCGTCTCGGTTCAAAGAGGATGCGATGCATGTGATCTCGGGAGCTTTAAGATCATCCAGCGTAGTTGTGGGACCATGGCTCAGGGCTGCCGTTGAAAGGATACCAATTTTCTTTGCCTTCTTGCGAATGTTTCCTTGGCTCAGCTCTGTGCTTTGGCCGTCACGACGCAGACTCCAGCCCCACAAACTCCTGTCCTGGCCACCACTAAGTAGCCACTTATTGCCTCCCTCAGAACCGTCAAAGTCAGAGGGGAGAAACTGCAGGGTTTTAACCGGGCCAGCATGACCACTTCGGGTATGAAGAATGCGTGGTATTGGTGAGAAAGGGGTTTCGTCAAAGATCCAAGACTTGAGTGAGTTGTCTAGGCCGCTTGTAACAACAACTGGCTGTCCGGGCAGGAATTCGATCTTGCTCACTCCACCTCGAACATCCGGCCCATCATGTACGGGTGGGTTATGAGCGCTTCTCAGAACTCCCATTACCCTCCCGCCCTTGTTAAGATCCCAGAAGGTGATGTCTCCGTTCTTTGCGGTGGCAGTAGCCATAACGCCGTCTTTTCTGCCATCTTGTCCTGCCCCTTGTCCGTCCGTGCGAAAGGATATTGTAGTCACGGGGGCTTCATCTGTTCCAGCGTTGAGTTGCACGACTGCTTTATCAGTTCGGACGTTCTGGATGACAAGCGGACCGTTGGAATAGGAGATGGCCAGAAGAGAAAGCGCAGGTGTAGGCTCGAGACAAGTAACAGCGCCGGCTTTTGGCGATGGGGGCAGAATGGTGTAGACGAGCTTCCCCGTGCTAACGTTCCAAATCTCGACCCAGCCGTCTCGTCGTCCGACAAATATCTTGTTCAGATAGGTTGGCATGTTGCAGATTCCTCCTGTGAGCTCATTGTCGCCCTTTGCGCCTACGGTGTGCAGAGTCGTGTAGTGCTCAAACGTTGATGTCTTCCAGACTTCAATCCTCGTCAGGGCGCAACCAATGATCCATGATCCGAATATAAGAATTTGGCGTATTGGCTGGTCAGCGTTGCCGGTTGCTTCGAGCTCAGCTACCTTCTTGCCCCTCTGAAAAACCCAAACGCCCTGACTGCTGCCATGACTGCCGCCTCCCCATGCAGCGAAGACCTTCTCCTTCCAGGCGTATGTAGCTGTGATGTCGGTAGGTGTCTGAGGTCGCGTGATGAAGACAAGATTCAGACCGCGCTTGAGGTCGTAGGTCTGAAGAGATCGGCCAACAGAGGTGGTAATCTGAAAGGTGGTCTTGCCCATGGGAATCGAGGTGAATGGAACGTCTGTTGGAGAGACCAGTCCGACCGTCTATTTTAGGATGTCAGAATTGCACGTTCTATTGCATTCAAACGGCACAAAACATACCCTGAAAGGTGCAAAGATCCTTGATGTGCCCGTCGGCGGTGCACCGCCCTGAGTTTTCTGCACCGCATCGCGCCTTTGGCGCTTCATCAGGCGCCCGTCGGACTCTGAATGAGGCATCTTGGATTCCATCAAGGCTCAACGGCCAGGAGAATCAATTGATGCCGAGGTTGAGTCACAAATGCGTACTCTCGGCTTTCCTATGTATGACCATGGGCGTAGCTCAAGACTTGCGACTCGAGAAATTTTTGGTGGATGCTGCCTTTTTTGGGGCTTATCGATAAGAGCGATAAGATGTGAATGCACCACCTGGATCTGCCCAGGTGGGCATCCACACCTACCTGCACCTGCATTGGGAAAGTAATATGAAGCCAGGCATTCCATTCAGAATATAAGAGAACAAGGGAGACTGAGATTCAGGGTGAGAAATTTGAGCGACTACTTCGTCCCTCAACCATGGAGAAAGTACTTGATTGTCTACAGCCCTGGAGGATAGCATGCGCAGAGTGTAAAATCTCAAAATATGGTCTACCGTCTCCATCAAATGCATCACTATGAATGCCTGAAAGTGTCTTATAACATTCGATCAATGACATTCCAGGAGTAAACACAACAAATCAGCGTCCATATAGACTGCAATTTTGCATCATGTTCCAAGTCCACACCCATCACCTGGTAGGTGAATAGCCATTACTGTTGGTTGTACAGCGGTGAAGTATCCGTATCCCTGCAACTTGGAAGACTTCAATGCCCCGCCGTGCTCACCGCTTACCTTTTTTCCTGGGGACCGACTGGACCAGAATACTGCCGGCTTTGGTGGGGCAACTTTTCCCGACTCGTTTTTTTCTCTCTTTCTCTCTGTACGCCTCCCTGTCAGAGAGCGAAAGCCACCCACGCACGTCATAGCCTACCCAGGTTATCCTGGTCTTCCATTTGGTGGTACATGTACTGTACAGGACAGCATCTCAAGTCCAAGCAGCAAAACTAAGAGGTGATCTAACCCAGCCTAACACTCCCGACTCGGCCCTCATTCACATTTCAATTGATCGCCAGACCATCCCTTCAGGCCATTTCCTCACTAAATCTAAGGGGTTATCGGCCTTGAGACCTCCCAGAGACCTATTAGAGCTGCACGTGCCCAGCTCAACAGAAACGTGGAAGTCTCTTTTCACATGCAAGCTTCTCAGTGTTCTGACGTGGTTCCCTTTCTGGATTATACCTTTAGTCTAAACCCAATGCAACCAACCTTGGATTCACCTTGACCTTGACATTGATTTTTGACCTTGACCGGCCCAGACCACTCAAGCTTCACTGACCCAGTGCCAGCAAAGGCTATCCTATCCGCCAGTCTGCTCCGCTTCTCGTGCGCTGTGTTGGCGCCGTCCACGGCCTGTCTGACCAGATGGACCCCCCTAGCTCAACAAGCTCCGGTGGCCGGCTCAGTTTTAGCACCAGACTCTCTGTAGACGGTGGCCCAACACCTACCTCAGTCCCGCCACCACCGCAGAACCCACCGGCGGCAGCACCAATACCGATTCCAGCAGCACATCCATCCAGCACCGGTGCGCTCCAAGAGCCATCCTCGTTCTCCTCCTCCACTACAGAGCCGCAGGCCTCGACCTCTCCACGGCCACGCAGCAAAACCCACCGCACCTCGTCCCTGTCCCACAACCTGTCCTCGTCCGCCTCGGCCCAAGTCACCGTGGCCAGTCGCAAGAGCCGGCATGCTGAGCCTGGCACCACTGAGGCCCACGCCGAACGAGCTAGTCTGTCCATGCCCCCACCATTGTCCCGACCTGTGAAGAGCCCTCGACCTTCTCTCCCCCAGAGCAGGCGTGAATCGTCCCATTCCGAGGCTGGGAGCGAAGACCTGAACCCCGTCAGAGCTCAGGATCGCCGTCGAACCTTCAGTCAGACATCTCGAGACGAACCAGGCCTCTCAGCCGTAGAGGACGAGTTCGACACTCCTCGTCTCCAAGCAGGGAACAGCCAAGACACGATACTGCACAGGCAGCTTCCCGAGCCTGCCCTGCCCTCCTCCAGAGGTTCCTTCTCCGAGACCGATGCTAAGCGCATGAGCGTCTCGTCTATGTACTCGATGGCTTCTGCTCGCGGCGTACCCAGCTCAGCAGGATCAGCAAACGGCTCAGACAGTGGTGTTGGCGGAACCGTGCACCGTACAGTATCAGGCCTGATGGCTTCGACTGGGAAACCGGCCAACCCTCCCCAGGGCGAGACCGTCGTGTCCAATGTGACAGTGACGACTAACAGTCAGGGGTCAGGCGGTGGCCATCTGGCCCCGAGGGAATCCCATCACCACCCCCTAGGCGACATCATCAAACGAAACACCCTGCCGACTCCAAGGTCCGACCCCACGAGCACACCGCGGCCGCCGCAGCCGACTCGATCACGCAGCCGGGCGAAACGTCGCTTCAGCGGTAGTACCGCGGCTAGCAGCCACAGCCCGAGCAGTGACAGGGGACCTCACCAGCGTGTGGAAAAAGAAGAGGGTTCGTCTGTCCGCTCGGGAAGAAAGCTGGGTAGAGAAAGGAGTCTAACTCAGCTTACAGTCAAGCCTGCTCCCTGGGGCGTGATCGGTGTCTGCGCGTTAGACGTCAAGGCGAGAAGTAAACCTAGCAGAAATATTCTTAATAGGTTGATAGCGAATCGAGAATTTGATGTGGTCGTATTTGGAGACAAAGTCATTCTGGATGAAGGTAAGACCCTATCATAACATATTCATGATCTTAGGCCTGGCTAACGTGGATTAGATATTGAGAACTGGCCCATGTGGTAAGTGAACCTGCCCCTGAAACAATACCTGCAGTCGCTGTGGAAACGGTACTTGAAGGCACGAGAAGGAAATGCAACTAATGAAATAAAGTGACTACTTAATATCGTTCTACTCAGATGGGTTCCCGCTCGACAAAGCCATTGCATACGTGAAGGCTCGCAAGCCTTTCTGTGTCAATGATGTGCCTATGCAAAAGATCCTGTGGGACAGACGTATCTGCCTCCGTTTACTTGACAGGGTTGGCGTGCCCTCACCGCAACGCTTGGAGGTTAGCCGCGACGGCGGTCCCAAACTTTTGACTCCTGATATCACAAAACACATTAAAGATATCACGGGTATCTCATTTGAGCCTACCCCCACTGAACCCGATAAGAGCCAAGCGCCCCGCAAAGTTGAGCTTCTCGACAACGGTGACATCCTTAGTGTGGATGGAGCTTTGTTGAAGAAGCCGTTCGTTGAGAAGCCTACCAGTGGGGAAGATCACAATATTATTATTTACTTCCCCCAATCGGCCGGTGGTGGCGCGCGGAAGCTCTTTAGAAAGATTGGAAACAAGAGCTCTGAATTTGTCGAAGATTTGATCGTCCCAAGAGCCATCACTCAACCGGACGGTAGTTTCATCTATGAGAAATTTATGAAGGTAGACAACGCCGAGGATGTCAAGGCGTACACCGTGGGTCCTACTTATTGCCATGCTGAGACAAGGAAGTCGCCGGTTGTCGACGGTGTCGTGCGCCGCAACACTCATGGAAAGGAGGTTCGGTACGTGACGGCCCTTACCACCGAGGAGAAAGAAATGGCCAGCAAGATCTCTACCGTTTTTGGACAACGTGTGTGTGGTTTCGATCTTCTCCGGGCTGGTGGCAAGAGCTACGTGATCGACGTCAATGGATGGAGCTTCGTCAAGGACAATGAGGACTACTATGATCACTGTGCGAACATCTTGAAGGAGATGTTTATCAAGGAGAAAGTCCGAAGAGGAGGACTCACGCCGCCGATTCCATCTCCAGCTGCCTCTGAGGTAGATCCGATGGTCAAGACCGGCCTAGGCATCAAGGAGAAAGAGCCTACTCCTCTCTCCGGAATGCTACCAAATCAGCCTAACGCTCCGAAGATCCCGTCTAGCGCAGCCTCTGTGTCAGGCGAGAAGCCATCGCAAGAGAAGAAGGCTGGTGAGCTGACGGCACCTCCCGCTGTGCCCACTCCCAAGTCAGAGAGCACGGTGGCCTCGAAATTGCAGAGTGCCTCAACCAGTCCCCTAATAAGCCAACTCCCTGAGTCTGTAACGAAATCTGTGCCATCAACAACTCCCTCCACAGTGCCAGCGACTCCGGCGCTTCTCCCCGAAAATGATGTTGAAGAGAGCGAGGAGACACCACCTCCACCTCCGCCCAAGCATTCCTGGAAGCTAAAGGGCATTGTCTCGGTTATTCGACATGCCGATCGCACTCCAAAGCAAAAGTACAAGTTCACCTTCCACACTGAACCGTTCATTGAGCTTCTCAGGGGTCACCAAGAAGAGGTATTATTGATTGGCGAGCCTGCCTTGGCAAGCGTTCTTGATGCCGTCGACATAGCCATGCGAGCAGGCATCGAAGATCGCGCAAAGCTGAAATCTCTTCGCAATGTACTTGTCAAGAAGGGCAGCTGGCCGGGAACCAAGGTCCAGATCAAACCCATGTTCCGAAAGAAGAAGACAGATGAGATGGCACCAGTCGACGAAAAGAAGGTCTCCGAGAAAGAGAAGGTCAAGGCAGTCGAAGAAGTAACGCCTGCAGAGGCCTCACAGTCAGAGGCTGAGTCTGATTCTCGCCCACGACAGCCAAAGCGGCACGACTCCTTATCAGGCGTCACAATGTCAAAGTTCACCGCTGCTGAGAATAGCTTGGTGCTCGACAAGCTCCAACTCATTGTGAAATGGGGTGGAGAGCCAACGCACTCCGCTCGCTATCAAGCGCAGGAGCTGGGCGAGAACATGCGTAATGATTTCCGTTTGCTGAACCGTGATATCTTGGATGAGGTCCACGTATACAGCTCTTCAGAACGGCGGGTGACCACCAGTGCCCAAATATGGGCAGCATCCTTCCTGGGTCAAAAAGACGTGTCTGAGGACTTCATAACAATCCGAAAGGACCTGCTAGACGATTCTAATGCTGCGAAAGATGAAATGGACAAGGTAAAGAAGAAGCTGAAGGGTTTGCTACGAAAGGGCAATGAGCGGCCGTCGCAATTTGCATGGCCGCCCAACATGCCTGAACCAGCGGAGGTGCAGACACGAGTGGTGCAGCTCATGAATTTCCACCGCCGAGTTTTGCAACACAATTACAGCAAGCTATATAGTGGCGCTGTAAACTCCCTTACCGCGATCTCCAACCCGAGCGTTGAAAAGCTCAACGGCCCTCCGCCATCTGAAGGCTCCGCTTCTTCATCTCTATCGCAAGTCAATGCAGTCAATAACATACAAGCGCGATGGTGTTGCGGCGAGGACGCCGAACTCTTCAGGGAGCGGTGGGAGAAGCTTTTCCAGGAGTTTTGTGATGGAGACAAGGTTGATCCCAGCAAGATCTCCGAGCTCTACGACACCATGAAGTTTGATGCTCTACACAATCGGCAATTCCTCGAATGGGTGTTCACTCCACCCAAGACCATGCTTGAGGACGAATACGGCATTGCCCCTTCCAGCGGGAAAGACACCAAGGCGCCACAGAAGGACAACAGCGAGCACGCTTCCAGCAAGTCTTCTGAAGACTCCAAGGAATCTCGAAGCGAAACATCGGCATCTGTATCACGGGAGGGCGAGCGCGTTGATGGGCAACCGCGTTCGGTCAGGCGGATGTTCCGCAGACGGTCCTGGATGAACAATCTGCGCCACGCTGGTGTTGAACCGCCCGAGCAGTACTTCCATCTGTATCAGGGTAACAGTCAGACTAAAGCCAAGACTGATGCTCGATTCGAGCCTTTACGAGAGCTGTATCAGCTTGCCAAGGTCCTCTTCGACTTCATCTGTCCGCAGGAGTACGGCATCTCGGACAGTGAAAAGCTTGAGATTGGGCTCCTGACCTCGCTGCCGCTCCTGAAGGAGATTGTCCAGGACCTCGAGGAGATGCAAGCATCAGACGATGCCAAGTCTTTCTTCTACTTTACCAAGGAGTCACACATCTACACCTTGCTCAACTGCATCCTGGAAGGCGGCATCGAGACGAAGATCAAGCGCAGCACCATCCCGGAGCTCGACTACCTCTCCCAAATCTGCTTTGAACTCTACGAGTCGGAGACCAAACCGCCCCAACAAGAGGGCTGTGCAATCCCCACGTTTGCATATAGCATTCGCATCACCATCAGTCCGGGATGCCATATCTACGACCCCCTGGACATCCAGCTCGACAGCAGGCATTGCATCAGCTGCGCCCCGAGGAGGAGCTTGACGCCGCACATTGATTGGAAGGCAGTGATCGAGACCCTCCGTGCTAAATTCCATCAGTAAGTTTCTCCCTCCTTCCTGCCCAGAATATCATGACATCTGGCGGTGACGAAGGGAAGGTCGCCGGTCAAAAAGTGGAGGCCGTGCGCTAACACGAGAGATGCAGGGTCAAACTGCCGAAGACTTTCGTCGCGGTCAATCTCTCTGACGCATTCTCTTTCCAGGAGAAGGAGAAGAGCCAGGATGACGTCTTGGAGATGAAGGGTCTTGACAAGAACGCTAAGGCGCCGTCGGAATCGTCGGCGGCGCAGGAGGATCCTGATCCCAGAGACGCGGTTGTTGAAGACACCGACCTGGTCCCAGCAAGCGACGCGCTCCCGGCTCAAGATTAAATCGGTGACCCGGGAGCGAGCCCATAGCCCGGCAGCACCAGCGGGAAGTGGAGGCAGAGGTGGAGAGATTGAGAAATGCGAACCATCATTCTTCATTCACCTGCAGTATGCGCAAATGTGGTTCATTCCACGGGGTCTCAAGTCCGATCGTTTATTCGCACACCGCCAATTTCACTCAAGTGTACTCGCATCACGGCGGTCCCCAGATAGCGAAAACTTTAAGAGGGGCTTGACGTTATTCTGAGGACGCGCCGTGAGAGATGATTGGTTAGATGGGAAGACGCTGCAATTGTGTGCTCTAAGATGGATCTCATTCAATGAATGATAAGATGATACAAAGAGAAGGGCCTGCACGATGATAGGCGGGGAAGCGGAACCCACGCCGTTGTGACGCATTGTCAGCAGAGCTTAGCCCTTTTGCTTCAACTGTACAGTAGAATACCACGAATGGTTAGTTAGACAATAGACGAGATGACAGAACCGATAAGAGTGTTACACTCTCTGCTTCTGAAAGCTTGGGAGGGCACCAAAGGCGTCCGAGTAACCGCCTGATTAGGTAGACCAGGCATGAGTGCTCCAAAGGGTCAAACCTCTCTATCGCCATCTCATGACCGCAACACGGATTTGACTTGAATCAGGCGGGCGCATAGTGTTAGGCGCTCTTTGGGTCTATCCATGATATCATTTCTGACAGCCTGTCAAGACATAAAAGTTCCACCATCCCCAGCCCCGGTCAACTCGGCAGGAGAACCGATTTAGAGGAAGCACGCAGCAGGGGCGGTGACCGGGTTGCCATAAAGGGAGTTGCTTCCGGACCCGACAATTTCACCTGGGACAGTTTAGCTGTTGATCAGCAGTTCCAGAGCCATGCCGCAGGATCACCTAAGCCGTGTTACCTCACCCGCTCGGAGGGGTAAGGGAAGCGGAGGGGAAGCGGAGTAGGGGGCTTTTTTTTTTTGCGGCGGGACAGTAGATAGCAGATGCCGGAAATCGAAGCCGGTGGAGATTGACAGACGGTGTAGAACATATTCAGAATTCGCTCTCGCTCTGCAAGTCTTCTGAGAAGGGAAATAAGGCAGAGGCAAGTAAGAAAGAATAATCTTCCGAGCCCAACGTTCGGTTCCGGACTTTCAGCAACGGCCAGGCTTGGCTATTCCAGCAATCATGGGGGACGGGACGCGGTCCGGCATTGGTTATATGATTCGATGGCTAGTTGGCTTGAGGTTGTGGTCCCTATCATTTTGGAGCATGTTCTTTAGTACGTCGGGTTGGCCCGTGCAAATTTGAGGGTCGTGTTCTCGACGGTTGCATCCACCCAAATTTTCACATGTTGATGAAATCGTTGCGTCCCGGCTTGCAGATGTCTTGCCCGGCGCGTAGCGTACTATTTAATTATGGAGACGCAAAGAAGCGATGCAACATCGGTGAAGAACCTTGTAAGCCATGTGCACTATAACGACTGTCGTCGAAGCGAGTAAGAGACCGGTCGACAGCTCTAATGGTGGGCTGCGGTGCGGTTCCGACTGCCCACCAAGAGAGCAAAAGGGGGGAGGAGAAGCAGTCCTGAGGAATGGTTGCGGGCGAAAAATGTGACTGAAGTATGCACACTTTCAGAAGGCAAGCATGATTGCTGTTTTAGCCTTGATATGCGTTCGCTATATCTGGTTTTCAGCCTCCATGGTGACCACATCAACTACATGTCACTCAAGATTATGGCTGCTCATGGTTGCAACCAAGATCCTTTTGATAAGACGCTAATAGTGGCATACCACTTGGATTTTAGGATGCAGATAACAGCCGGTGAGTTTCGCCTGTTGGATGGCAACACCCTGGCCCTAAGCGAGGTAACATCGATTGCCGGCAGATGAGGCTGTTCTGCCAGGTTCCGCAGTCTGGTCAGAGATGACGGGATTGCTGGAGGCGTAACGGGACACCACCGGTGCGATACATCGACAGATACCCCGGTGCATTGTTATCCGACATCTTCCTTGTGATTTTCATCCTGTAGTATTTGGCTATGAGACGATGAACAGACGATGCCAAATATACTATAGAGCTCTTGATTGGCGCGTGTGTGGGAGCCGTACCCGAAGCCGTTAGATATGCTGAGTGCGGGCATGTGCCGTACAAAACGCTTAGAATCATTGAGAATAGCCCAAAAGCGTACTCATCTGAGAACTCTTGTCTAGTTCAATGAAAAATTCGAGATTTTCCCTCAGAGGTATAGATAGTACATTTTTGTATGTCTTTGATAGTCAAACAATTGATGGCCAACACGAGGTCCCATATTTCCGGAAGCCCATGCAGCTGCGGCTATCTGTTCATATTTGGGATAGGACCTTAGAAAGTTGATCTCATCATAGCTGCGGATTGATACAATGGCGGCAGAGTCGTGGGGATTTGACGGTGCATTAGATGTCTTTAGAACTCCGCACCAGCGCTCATTACGATCTCTCACAAACCTCAGGGAAATGGCAGGAACTGCGAAGACCCATGATGACGAACGACATTGAAGGGCTAGATCATCTGTCGAATCAGAGGTGGTTGCGGGTGTGACCTGCGGCCTTACAGCAGGATAAGATGGTGTGGCGGCTGTTCTGCAGCGCACAGGTACATTCTTTGACCATCAGTTGACGGGAAGGACCTGATCCTGTACTTGTACAGTACCGGACCGAACGCGGAGAGACCGCACCTAATTCCTCTGAAATGGAGGGGGTTCGGCGGCACTAGCAGACCTCTGATCATCCTCGCTATAACCGAGTTCTGGGGATGCGGACCTATGCAACGCAAGTAGGGCCGTATTCGAACTTGGTCGTTTAGATAGTCCCAATATCACGCAATAGCTGCCATTCTTTCGAGTGGACCTAGTCCATCATCTTTATATTCCACGCCGTCTGCCGGTCGTTTTACGGTGTATATCACAAAGCATATTCCATTATTTTGGTTCGAACGGCGCGCCCAGGTCGGAACGAAAGCCCATTTGCTTGTAATGCCGCTCTTAGAGCGTTCATCAGAACTAGCAAGGATGATCAGCACTCGTGGCGGGCTAGTCTAGCCCTTGAGAGATATGTCAGGTATTGTGTGCATTTGCTGACGCGCCATTGTGAGGCAGTAAGAGATTGCGTGTTGCGTCCTGCCGTGTGCACATACCGCCATGTCGTAGAGCCATAGACGGATCCGCCGGTAGTGAAGTGCGTGCTCTGACGATTTGAGATAACTTAGACCGAAAAATGCGAATTGGGGGAAGGGGTGATGGTGGCCCACAAAATGGCGGCGCAGATGCAGCCCAATGAAATGGGTACAATGTCCCCATATCCCCAGTTCCATGCCCCTGTTCCGCCCCGGACGTTGCTTAATTTGGAGACTGCTAGAACCCTGGGAGAGTACGTTTGGGACTGTAGCAGGGCTGTCAGTGAATGTCGAGCCCTCGAAGTCTCTCCTTTCGGCGCCAGATAAGTTGCAACCACGGCAAGGTTGCGATGCGATGCCAGGTTGTCGATTGGGGGCTTTGGGGGCCGCGGCTGGAAGACTCAAGACATACAACGGCCTGCAGATGGGCATGGACGTGATAGTCACGATGATGCTTGTGGCAGTGGTTCCATGCCATGCCGATTGGAAGCCCCAGTAGAAGGCATTTGGAAGGTCATGCCACGAGCTGACCCCCCTGCCGCCAGCCCGAAAAGAGCATCCTGCGATATCCCAGGCTTCGTTTCGGCTAACCTGCAACGGCTTAAAGGAGCATTGTTACCATGTCGAAAGCACGGCAGTCGAACCGAGACCACGCCCGCCACTGCGTCGAGTGGACAGCAGGGACAAGCAAACAGTCCAGGTCGTAGCGTAATTATAGTGAGTTTGCTTGGTCGCTCAAGTGGGTTTTCGCAAGATTGGTTAGAGCCTGCGCATTCGCTCCTGGAATATTCTCGTTTGCGTGGACAAGTCCGTGTAAGTCGATGTTCCCAAGACTTGGTCAAGTGTGAGCCGCTCGGCAAAACATGGTGGAGCGCTCACTTGCCCCGGCGATCCGGTGGAGGTCCATCTGTGACGTCTAGTACGGAACGTCGAAACATAGGCGTCATCAGGATGAGCAGATCGTGGATCACTTGAGGTGCTGGGCAGGTGATCGTCACAACAGCAGGAGTAGGTATGATAGATAAGGCCAGGTAACGAATAGAAGTCAGAGCCACGGGCGGTGGAAAGGCACACGGGCCGGCCGGCTGGTGGGAGACCGGTAAGGAGCAGCGGTGAGTTGTCGACGAAAGGAGGGAGTGCCTCGGGAGTGCCTTAGATTGAGCCCCTGCGAGCACGCAAGATTTAACATGCCGGGGCGAATCTACGGTATATCGTGTTGACCATTGAGGATTGTCTCAACTATCAAGCAGGTGTTGAAGAGGAGGAGTCGGCATGAGATGCGCCGTGATTGCGAGTCGCCGTAGGTAATGAAGGTACCGTAGGTGTTGCACATACTGTACTACCTACCTAGGTATGCAATCCATATCTGTCTAAGCCTCCCTAAAGACTAAGATAGTACCAGGCTTGCTTACGAATTGCCTTGTATGGTGTGGAGGCAAAGATAATATACGGTGTTGAGCTAGATACGCTCGGTTCGGTATCGGTATGTATGCTGGACCCACTTGCAGCTTGCGTCAGTACAATAGTAAGTAAACTTGGAAGGCACGGAAGGTACCTCAAGGTGCGTTGAGTTAGGAAGGCAAGGCCCGTAGGGCCATGAGGTGGCTGTGATACCTTCCTATAATTATCTGTTTCTGTTCTTTCCTAACCTAAGAATTGGCGGCTGTTTGAGGTTGATTCGGCTCAGCTAGGTCAGCTCCTTCCCTAATAATATAAGGGAGGACATTTACCTGTAGTCCGGTTACAGTGGGTAACTTCCCTGACTGAGGTGCCACTTTGGCCTTGCGTCAGATTTCAAACTAGCAGGCATCCGACGTCCTACCAGCAAAACGGCAACTGCAAGGTACAGGGCCAAAGGGCTAATTCGCGTG